CATTTCGATTCTGCTGGTTTGATCGCCTTAACAAACTCTTTCGATTGCCTGTGTCCGGGGGATAAATTCCACTCCCTAAGGAATTGTTTCATGCCCCAGTTATTGATACTCTCTTTCGCTGTGCTCATAGAGTTAGGTAACACCGTTGTGGCCCGACAAATGCAGTGTTCGAGCCTTCTTTGGCTTGGCCATCCGCCTTTTCATTGCCATGGTGTCCCTTATGTGCTGGTATCCAAACAAGGGTTACCTTGTTCTCAAACCTGAAAGAGATCCTATTGATAAGATCTATAGTTTCCTCCACTAGTCGTGAGGTTGACAAATCTTTTTGTAATGTCCTAAGACTAGCCTGACTGTCAGAAAAGATTTTAATATCTTTTCCCATAATTTTATTTTCCATCAGTGTTCTCCAACACACATTGATGGCCCAGATGTCCCCTGAAAAACGGAGGTGTTATTGCCAAGAGGGGAGGAGATGCTTATTCCTAATTTTGGTATGTAGATTCCTGCACCACTCCCTCTACCTTTGATAAGTGAACCATCTGTGTAGCAGTCTATGTTACGATGGTCATCATCCAGACTATAATCATAATCACAAGATAAGATGATAGATTGGATCATTGTATCATTGACTTTAAAATCTCAGGAAAGAGACTATAGTTGGATTTTGTAGTTTATATGAAATTCAAAAAATTCTCCTTGCAAGAGAAGATACAATCTTGTCTCTTAGTGGTCAAATGATCATTATCTGCATTAAATAACCATGTAGTCGATTCCCATTCATTTTATATTAAGAAGCAAAAAAAGATTAATACATTTAATAATATCTTAGACAATCCTCCATTAATTATCTTACTGTTATGTTTGGTCCGTTTTAAAGAATTAAAGGTAAGTAAAACACAGATAAAATCTTCCACTTGTATTTACAATTGGATTTTGTAAATAAATCTTTGAATAGTCAATCTCTTCTTTGTTTTTTATAAAGCTTCTTTCTAACGATTATTTGGAGATTGTGAGATGCAGTCTGGGTGTGACGTAGGATTTAGAAAAATATTTTCTTTATCGTGCCAATGTTTCGATCTTTATTGAGATCATCATCAGGGCTCAAAGTGTTTGTTTTACGTGAAGATGTGCATTCTTGTGTGTCGTGTTGAGAGGGCACTCCCGGCTCAGACCCTCTGAAGATGATCTCTATAAAGATCGAAACGTTGGCACGATAGAGAAAATGTTTTTCTAACACCTACGTCACACCAGACCGCACCTCACGGTCACTAAACACCACACACTTCTTTCTAACGTTCCGATGGTTTGATTTTTGTTAAATTGTACCAAATTTAAGTTGCTCATTTGTCTGAGTGATTGTTTTAAGTGATACAGTTTCTTCTAGAATCATCGTATTATTGAAAGACGAAACAAGTCATGCGTATGTGGCCAGGGTGCTTACCAATCCTAGAACAACTGTCCAAAGGGTCTTTTATAGCAACCGTGATACTGGAGGTAATGTACTGGTGGTGGATCAGGTCACCATCGTGCTACCATCGGAGAGATTTTATTGATTCAAATGTGCTCCGTAATCGACATTCTACCGCTGTTGGGATCAAGTGATGACTTCAACAAGTTAGAAATGTTAATGTCAGGGGAAGACTTCAGAAGCTGGATTATGAACGAGAAGGCCTGCCACTCCAAAATTCTGACAAGGCACTGAACAGCTCGGTGGATTTTTGCAAGAAATCACATCAATTGGTCTGAGCGAGATTGGACAAAAATTTTGTTTTTTCATTCGTCAAGGTTTTGTTTGAGGTCGTCTGGTTTGGAGAAAAACAA